TATAATAAATATAACAAAGAGAACAAATAGTATAACTATGATAAATATAATATATATAATAAATATGATATAATTAACAAATATAATAAATATAATTCATTTATCTAATATGTCAACTTGATCAACGTTGACAACTTTAGCAACTCTGTTAATTTCGTCAACTATGTCGATCATTTAGATCACATAACTTTATTTTAGCACAGTCACGGATCACAGCTTCAGCGTCTAACTATTTGATTTAATTTAAATTGATACTTAGAGATAGCATATGCAGCTTATTTAACTAAAAGTCTATATGACAAATTTTATAAATAATTAGAAACATTAAATTTAGTAAGCTGTTTAATAGGAGCAGATAATAATCTACATTTAGGAGATTTGATGCTTTTTTTACTTTGACTGGTTCAGATACTAGTTCTAGAGTAAGTTCTTATATTTCTAAGTTTTTAACAATTGGAATTCTTAGAGGTTTCTAAGGTTTTCCTTGTCATTTTCTTTGTTTTTAGAAACAGGATTTCTAGGGTAAGGTCTAGATTTAATATTTAAATATACTCTGTATTCTTCTTCTTTTTTCTCTGAAGTATAATCATTGTACTTATCATCTTAATATTAGTCAACTAAGTATACATCTCCAGAATCTTTATAATGAGATCTTTTACAACTTCTTTGTTGTTAAGGTTGTAGACAATTTCTAGTAATATATTTCACTTCATTACAATTATAACAGATTATAGGAGTCATATTTTATCTGGATCTTCTAATGGCATTATTGTAGTTTCATTCTGTTAATCTCCTTTGGGGTTGTTGAGGTTGTGCTAACAAAGCATTTGTCAAATTTGCATAATTAATAATTAACGGTTCTAATTTCTTTATGAGCTTATCTACTCACTACTGGGTTTTCCATATCAAGATATGTTTTACATGTGACGCAACAAATGAGGAAATATTTTGGTTTTTTAGCATTTTTTTTTTTAAAAAAAAAACTACCTAAAAAAAAGTAATTGCATAAAGAAAATCAATGGTTGAGCACATGATGATCTATAAATTTCTTTAAAAAGATTTTGCGATATAGTAAATGGTTACACAAATTTTTTTAATATGAAAAGAACCGACAATTTTAATATTTTTATAGTTCATTAATTTGACTTTTTTGTATCATGTGAGTATAAATAAAAATATAACAAGGAAAAAAATATTTCGTAATGCTCAACAAAAATTTTTATGATCACATGTAACAATTGCCTTTTTGAAAATAATTTATTCTTTTTAGTTAGGCTGTAAAACAAATTTAGTCACTTGACAATAATAAAAAACCTGTATTCAATTAACAATTATATAAATAAATATAATCTTTACATATTTTTTTAATAAAATTCCCATACTTACGCATAGCAAACTTATACGAGTGGGTATCACGAATTAAAACCATTTCGAATTGTATTTATTCATGAATTCAAATAACAAAATTCACGAGATATCCATTAATATAAATGATATAAATCATTATGGAAGACAAAAGTTATTGGTAGCAGTAGCTCCCAATGGTAAATATGTCATCACGAATAACAGAAAAGATCATTCATTTGAAGGATGGATTGTCAGCACGGAAGATCCTAAATGGATTTCACTTAAACGAGACCCTGAAGTGACTGTTTTGTAAATTACCTTATGATGAAAATTAAATGAAATCAAAGTAAATGATGATAAAGTTGTTTTATATGTATGTAAACATAACATAAAAACCTTGCAAATGTCAAAAAAACAACCAATCAAGCCTCGTTCATTGCGTAAAATTAGATATCGTTCATTTTATTTCAAAAATGATGG